TCTGGTGGAGACTGATTGACCTCTTACTCTGCCTGTCACAGCTACGAACAGCTGTGAGGATTTACAAAAGTGTGTAGTTCTATTCAGGTAAAACTCCAAGGTTCTTCTGATGTTCAAGCCATGCAAATGCTGTTCTTCCCTGGTCATATGTGGTTCTGGTAGAATACAGGCAAATAATTTGGCTGGTAGATGTGGAAAGAGGAAGCCACCCTTGGGACGAACTTCAGATGAGGATGTAGGTAAATCTTGTCCTTAAACAAAGATTGTATGTCGAGATCCCGATATTAATGCCCACAGCTCCCTTACTCTTCTGGCCAAGCTAATAGCTACCAAAAAGGCCAACTTCATTGATAGATGCAGCAGTGAGCAGTAGTCAATGATTCAAATGGGGGACCCATACATCTTGACAATATTAAGTTTAGATCCCATGATGAAACGAGGTCTTGTACTTGAGGGCATAATTTTTCTTTGTTGATTAACAGCTCCAGAGGATTGAATGTTGACTGGCTAGGGGCAACACTGCTCTGCACTTGCAGTTTGGACTGGATTTTGACAAAGTAGGGGTAAAGCTACTACCGCCATGACCTTTATAAGAGACCCTGGGAGCTGCGGACAGGCTGAAAGGTAGTATGATGAACTAATGATTTTGATTTACCAGAAATCAGAGGTACTTCCTATGAGCTTCAATGATTGCCACAAGGAAGTAGGGATTTTTTTAAATTGAGGGCAGCATACCAGTCCCTGGGATCCAGGGAAGGGATAATAGAAGCTAGGGTGAACATGCAAAACTTTATCCTTTTTAAGGATTGTTGAGATGACAAGTCTAAAATTGACCTGAGACCCCCTTCATTTTGGGGATTAGGAAATATGGGGAATAAAACCCCTTCCCTCTGATACCACATGGAACCTCCTCTATGGCTCCCTGGATAAGGAGTTTTTCATGAAAATGGTCCCTGAAGAGGGAAAGGGAGGGATGGTGGGAGGGATTAGTAGAAACAAACTAGAGAATATATCCCACTTCCACCATACTCAAGATCCACTTGTCCCAAGTAATCCAGGACCGAGCACTGCAGAAGTAGGAGAGACAGGGTTCAGGCCTGGAAAGATAGAGACTGGTATGACAACCTCAACTGGCTCATAAAAATACCTGTTTTGTGATTCCTGGGTGTCTTGAGGGCCAAGTGCCAAATCAGCAGGAGAGGGAGGCGTACGCCTACAACTCTTTTTTGATAGGTCCTGCGGAAGAGGAGTGGAATGGGCTATCTAGTCCAAGAATAGTGAAGGAAACCTCAAATGGCAAGTCCTGGATAGTAGTCTGGACTTCATAGTGAAGACCAGAAAACTGCAGCCAGGATGATCTACACATGACCCCTGCAGAGGCCATGGTTCTACGTGCAGAGTCTGCTGCGTCCAGCCCCCCCTGCAGCGAAGTTCCCTCACAGGATAAGTCTGCCCTCACAGACCAGGGAAGAGAACTCCTGCCTAGCGTTCTCTGGAAGGAGCTCCTTTAACTTTTGCATGGAACCTCACAAATTTGCACAAACGAAGTCCCAACAAAGCTTGTTAGTTAGCAATATGTAGCTCCAAACACCCTGTCGAATGAATCTTTCTGCCAAATAAGTCCAGCCTTCTGGCATCTTTTGATTTGGAGGTGGCAGCCTGGTATCCCTGTCATTCTCTCTCATTAGCTGCTGTGACAACTAATGAGCCCAAAGGTGGGTGAATATACTCAAACCCTTGGGAGGGTACATAGTACTTTCTTTCCACCTTTTTAGAGGTTCAAGGCAAAGAGGATAGACTCTGCCCCCAAAGCCTTTATTGGCTCTAATATCACCTTGTTAATTGGCAGAGATACTGTGGAGGGCCCCACCGATGATAAAAGGACAACTCGAGGGCTCCCTGACCTCTTTGACCTGTGCACCTAAGCCTGCAACAACGCTTTTCAATAACTCCTGACAAACCTTAAAATCATCAAGAGGAGGAGAAGTTGTGCCAGATCAAATGCCCTCATCTGAAGAGGAAGCCAAGACCGGGGGGGATAGAATCTCGTCTACCAGCTGTTGCTCTGGATCTGGAACCTCCTCTTCATGCTTGATACCAGTCTTGGTGCTGGCCTCTTGAAACAGAGCCACTCTGTGTGTAGACTCAGCCTTTCTAGAGGAGTGCACTGAGTATGCACAGTGTTGGGAAGGTCTGGAAGCTGGGGGAAACCCTCAAGAGTTCCAAAATGGCCACTGAACCAGGGCAGGGTCCAATTGTCAGGTCCCATTCAAGGGTCACAGCAGTAGGTGGAAAGAAAGGATCTCTGCAGAGACCGGCATGTCCTGCTTCAGCACTGTGATATATTAAATCCCCCTCTGAGTTAGACAATGAGAATTCCCTTCCTTTGACCATGGTGGGGCTGATCCAGTCAGTGCCAGGGAACAGTGCCGAGGGCCTACTGGTGGATGGAGCAACACCATCAAAGCCCACTTCCCCTTGGGGCTTATCTGTGAAGAAGGCAACTGGAGTACAAGAGGTTGAATTGCTGGCAAAAGTGGCAGTGGTGCCAAGGGACCAGACTCCTGTAAGGAAGGAGTCAAAAGCACTGAGAGGCAGAGCGGGTTTCTTACTGCTGCAAATGCCTCTAGGTAGGAGGCACATAGATGGCCTCTTGTTGCGGTGCTGAGGAAGTTGGCAGTGCTACTTCCAACACCGCACTCAACAGTTCTCCTTGTGGAGCCAGAGCTGACTGTGCTGATTTAGGCATCAAGTTGGAGGAGGATGCTGAGGTTTCAGGTGCACTCTACTTGACTCCTCCTTGACCATCTTACCAAACTTAGAGGGTGGAGACTTTCCCCTGGCCAGTGCCTCTGTGGAAGCATTGTATTTCTTCCTCGGTATGAGTGAGGGAGAACAGTGCCAGGATCCTGCTAAAGCTGGAGGTGCACCGCTTTCTGAAACCGCAGCACTCAGCACCGAGTCAGATCAGGACAGTGGCAACAGTGGCCTGACCACTGCCTTCATCAACAGGAATTTCAGCCTAACCTCCTTATCCTTCTTCACCCTAGGTTTGAACCCCCTGCAAGCCTGGCACCAGTCCCTCATATGTGCTTCTCCCAAGCACTTTAGGCAGCTGTTGTGCAGGTCACTCATGGGCATAGGCCTGGAGCCAGAAACACATGGCTTGAAATCTGATGACCAGGGCATACCTCAGCGTCATACATAGAAAAAAACCCTGAACAGGGAAAACAAGAAGTCAAAAATTTTTTTTTAAAAAATATCTATAGTACTGTTAAAACTTACTTTCATAACATTACTAAGACTAGACTTACATTACATTCAAAAAGGCTGAGAGAAATAACAGTTCTGGTAGAAAACAGAGTTCCAATGACTGTTAGGGGTGGTAAGAAGGAACTGACGGGCTAAAGGCAGTTCTTCCCTTTATAACTACATACCACCCAACAGATACCACTGAGGGAAAAAGTTTCTGACAGCCATGCACTGGGTGCACTGATACTAAGAGTGGAATGCATATATGCAATCATTCAAAGAACAACCAGGAAACACAAAATTTGGATTTCAGAAATGCTAGAAACCAAAGTCCCCATCTTTACAATATTCAACAGCAATTGCAGTGACCTGGAAGTAGAATTGAAGTGATTCCAGGTGATCAGAGATTCAGCCCAGAAATATAATCTTTTATATATAACGTGCAAATCTACAGAACTGCAGTATTTCTATTCCTTTCATTTCAGGTCTCCTCTACCAATAAGTAAAGAAACTCATTTGGCAGATTTATGAAAACAATTACTAAATGCCCTTTGGAAGGTTCTTCTAATACTGCCTAGGATGTCAGCAGCACACCTGTGTGATTAGGAGACTGTTTCCTATAAAGTTCTTGTTCTCTGATTCAAAATCTTATCTCTGTTATTTATAGTGATATTCACTCTTGATCTATGTGTATTACATGCTAGCCCATCAATAATCTCAAGCCACCTTGCTAGCAAACAGATTCAACTTCTCCTCAGTCAATTGGTCACCTTTTCTTCCCCTGTCATGACCCTTTTACACTGCAGAGGAAAAGGTTTGTTTCATGCAGTATAAAAGCTATTTTTAATCATGAGAAGCTTAATCCTATTAAAAGATACTGGATAAGACTGCTTGCAAAGTAAAAAGCAAGGGTTAGAAGTTACCAGTCATCTCTTTGAACCATTAAGCTGAGGCACAGAAATGAAAGCTTACAGTATGCTCACATGCCAGGGTTGGCAGGCTCATGAGAGATTTCCAAGTATGTGTGTACTCACATTATGTGGGTCATAGGCTTTAGAAGAAGGGTAAAAGGAAAATAGCACATTTTTCAAGAATCCAGTCTAAAAGCCTTTAGATATAAACCAAAACTGCTTAAAACAAAACATGTCGTGGCTTTTCTTATAACCCTATAGAAAGAAGCATGCCTGTGGACTATAAACTTACCTTGTTTTACTCCAAAAGAATTGATAAAAGAGAAAAGGCAATCCAGGACCAAAGGGTCATATTTTCAGCAGGCTTCCATCATTTCACCCACAAATGCACTTGTTTTGCTGGGTGCTCAGAATTTGGGTGTGCTCAAATTTAGTGAGCACAATTAAGGGAGAAATGCTGTAAATTTGGCTCTACAAATATCTATCGCTTATTGATGCTAAGTACCATAACTGCCAATAAAAGGGCCAATAAAAAGGCTAAAATCTGATACTCTTCAGAAATATGGTGACACTTCACACTGGAAATCCCCTACTGCTACGCAGCAAGAGATTGCCAAAGACCTTCAGCTGAAAAAAATCATTACCATCTATTGGCTTGAAAGGCCAGTCACCACGCTGGAAATATCAATATACCTATCAGAGAAATGTTACAGATTTTTAACTTTTTCTTTTTCTCTCTCTCAACCCCTTTTTAACTGCAATTTTCAAATACCATTTTTAGTGACCAAAACCAGCTTAATATTATTTTATCCAATAATATCCAACAGATGAAGTTACCTTTGTTTCTGCTAACCAGCGATGAGGGTCATTCTTTAACCCAGGTGTAAGTGATATTGCCTGGAAAAAAAATTTAGACACAGAGGGAAATTTTTTCTTATTTACTGAACAAAATGAGCACACTAATTCAAAAAATCATGACTAAAGATCAGTATTGGAAGGTTTATTCCTAAATATTTTAAAGAGCTGTTAATTTTATATCGGTCACATTAAAGGATAAGGAATGCAGTGCCATCAGTATAATTCTTGTTTAAAATGCAACTCAGGTACATAGTAATTCTGTTATTTTTCCTGCTTTATCCATATGATCACTACAACACTATGTGATTAGAACATCCTCAAAATGCTTAAATGTTTTATTATTAGATTGCAGTTTACTGTATCAACAACAATGCATATTTGGAGTTGGGAAGGAATTCTCCTCCAAGGCAGATTGGAAGAGGCCCTGGGGTTTTTTTTGCCTTTTTCTGTAGCATGGGGCACAGGTCACTTGCCGGAGGATTCTCTGCACCTTGAAGTCTTTAAACCATGATTTGAGGACTTCAATAGCTCAGACATAGGTGAGAGGTTTATTGCAGGAGTGGGTGGGTGAGATTCTGTGGCCTGCATTGTGGTCAGACTAGATGATCATAATAGTCCCTTCTGACCTTAATAGCTATGAGTTTATGAGTCTAAGATATATATTCTGGGTGCCCCTTTGTGAAAATTATGTTTAATTTACAGGGAAATGCAATTTACAACTATTGATCTGAATCACATGTTAAAATGCCTGTTGAAGGGTTAAAATCCATTGCTGATGTAATAACCTGGTATATGGATTTGTGTACAGACCCAAAGTCCAGAGTTTGGTCAAGAGGTCAGAGGCCTAGCAAATAGTGATTAGCTAAGAGAAAGCAGAATAACCAAAGATAACCTTGTTTTTGTTAAGATATGCCTGGTCAGCAAAACGCCAGATGTTGGGGGCAATAATTGTGTCTTATTCAAAGTTGCAAACAGAACAAAGAAGCCCTGTTTCTGTTCCGTTAGTTTCTTCTGTAGGGAGATGTTCTTCCCACACATCCAACCTTGAGTTTATGAAAGGTTCAAGCATGTCAGTATAAGATATGGCCTCCTCCCACCTCCCTTTCCCAGGAACCAATACCTGCCTTAAAACCCAAATAAGCAACTTGAAAGACAATCTTTATTGCCATATACTTTCACTGCTTCTTTGCTTTTACCCCTAGATATGTATCTGTTGGACAAAGGAGCTACTTCATTCCTATGGACCCCAAACTGAATCCAACATATATTCTATACTAATACATTTATTAAAGTACTAATTAAATGCTAAATGTTAATTTGTTAACTTGAGACCATGGGCGGAGACATTATGTAACCTTTTGACCATTGGCTACTGTGCTATCATGCCTTGCAGCTAAACCTATCCAGGGGTGTGGGACTGCCTACCCCATCACTTTCCCTGCCCATGGAAAATATTGATTGACAGTGTCTCTGAGCCTAATAAGCGAGGTGACACTCCGTCAGCACTGTACGTAATAAACTCCTATGTTTGATCTCTACATTTATGTCCTTCGCTTGTTTGTTTCTCTGTTTGTTTTTTAAAAAGACTAGGTTCAGAGTCATCCAACCTCATTTCCTCCAGACTGTATGGCACCACATCGTGTAGCACAGAAGTAGTACAGGCTATTCTTACTTGTGATTTCACTGTTAGCAATTTGGCTTTTCTTCTGGAATAGAACATGAGATTTTGACTGCTTTATTTAATTACACTTTTCTCGCTTTATCAAAGAGTGAGAGAAATGTACAGTGGGCACCAATAAAAACTCAATATTTGCTATTCTATTGTGATGATGGTATCTTCCATTCCAGCTATAAGAAAATACCATACTTACTTCAGGTATTTGAGATTGATGATTTCAAGTTCTTACATATCCCTTCTTGAATATTAAGGTAATAAAATTACTAATTAAGACAGAAGATAAATCTGTACTGTATATTTCATTAGCAAATCATACATCAGATGGTCTGCCAGGCCTCTCTTCCACCAATCCCTTTTAAAGCCAACTACACCACAAATTAAAATGTGTTAAAAAGGAATTATTATACCTAATCTCTATATTTTTTATTTAATGAATCTATTCCTTTTAGTGGGTTGTTTTTCATTACTTCTTTTTAAAGAAGTAGAAGAAAAATCTGTGTTTTGCACAGATCTGTATTTTTAATGGAAGTCTAGTTAAGTTCAATGTCCATTTAACATCTGATATATCCTCTTTTGTAGAGAACAAACCTGTATCATGCCTTATATATCCTGCTCTTTTCCATCTCAAAGTGGTATGACTTTATTTATTGTTTAATTTACAATACTTGTTGGACTGGGATACTTTTATCTGATATTCATGCAAAAAGGCCTTTTGGGGTCTTCTTTCGTGCAAGTCAAGTTATGTTTTTGTAAGAAATCTATTCCTTTAACACTATTAAGTGGGTTCTACTACTGATGCCAAAATGAAAAGATCACAAGCAGTACTTCTTGTACTGATTTGTATATTGAGAAAGTCAAAATACTTAAGGGTTTTGGGGGTTTTTTTTGCAGAGGAAGCAGAGGGGAATTCATGTGGCAGCAAAAGACTGCTTGAAAAAAAAAATCCCAACTGTTTATTTGGAATTCTTTAAGTTAAAACTCCACTTTGGGACAACTAGCAAATCTGGTCAGATTTTTGCTTTCAGGAGAATTCAATGGATGAAGACTAGAGATTCTCTAGCTTCCTCCAATAGCACCATTATCTTCCTCTTAAACCCTCACAAGACAACAAGATTGCAGTGATACTCGTAGAAGAAAAGGACTTGAGTTAAACCTTTCCAGAGCCCTTGACAGAACCCATAGTGCTGGGGAGAGGAGCATCACTGAAGTCCAATGAGAGCCATGTTTTCCCTACTTCTCCCAAGGCCAACTGTACTGCCTCCATACAACACCTCTACTCAGTACCCATGGGAAGAGAGCAAGAAATTATTTTGCTGTAATAAAAATGATGTCCCCTTCATGGGCTAAAGCAAAGGTCAAGTGGCTCAAATATGTTTTAAACTTGCCAATGGCATGCAACTTAAGGGGTTTGATGAAACTGGATGAGCCAGGAGAAGCTGACATGCAAACTTTTCTTTTAAAATGAAAACAAAACCTCCATACTTTGGCATTACTTTTAAATTCCAAGTTAACTGTAATTTCTAGGAACCATGTAAATTTAAACAATAATTCCATCTGTGCTGCTCAGTAGACTTTAGAAATCAAAACTTGGGAGTTCAGAAAAGGAGGAAAGTTAGGAAATTTGCTCTTTATTATGTGGTGAAACATTTAAACAGATCGATGTCTGTCTGCCAGGATGTCACACTCAGTTCATTACTCCAGAGTCTGAATAGCATTAAAATATTTAGAGAAATTTCCATGTTGAAAAAATGTCTATTTTCCCTTTTTTTAAGAAAGTACACTACAGCAGTAGCAACATTTACACTCTTCAAAAACCATAGTGTTAAGTGATAAAAGAATGTGTGTTAAAGTATAAAGCATATAACTATCTCCATTCTCCATTTTTGTAATACTAGAAAATATGACTTTTAAATTTGAAACACATTGTTCACAAGAATAAACATAAGACATTTTTTCTGTTGTACTACCAATCTTATTAAACAAACAGAATTTTTAAAATAAAAAATTAGTTTGAATTTAAGAAAGAATACTTTATTAAACTGAGTTTCTGAATCTTTGTTCAGAAACTATAGATTTTTTACCAAAGATTATCTTCATTATTTGCTAGAGCAGCATGCTGAGGTCTATTAATAAATACCCTAGGGGTTGAAATATACTGACACTTTCTCTTTTAACCACTTGTCATATGAGAGAGACGAGACACAATATGAATTACCGGTATGACCCACAATTTTAAGATTTGAACATCGTTTCCAAGCAAAACAGTAAGGAAGTTAATGTTCAGTGTCAAACAATGAGCCAATGTGATGCAGTTTGCGACTAGGGACGTCATTTCACATCAACCACTAATAATGAAGAAAAAGACTGGCAACTGAAAATAACTTCTGGTGATGCACGGGAGGGGGCTTATGTTATCTCTTTATAAGATACACAGCAACATGCGTTACTCCACAATTCCATAATACGCTTAATACCATATTTTCTTAAATAGTGTCACCTGTCATATTTGAAATATTTTACTTAAGAAACTATCTGTAGCAAATATGTGAATACAAGCAGTCATGCATAAAAATTCCCTTATAGTTATCCATTAGGTAGCAAACTAAAAATCTAAGGCAGATTGAAAACTAATAATTACTTTGAATTTCTCCACAGAGTCCCTGGAAAGGATTTCACAAGCTGCATCAATTTCACTTCCTATCATGGTGAGAATGGATTCTTGTTCTGTCTCTAGACAACGCAGCTGATCCCTAAACTGTAATCTGGACTCCTCCATCCTCCTCAAATGATCTTCTTCACTGCTTATCTGTTTATCCTGGGGCAAAAGAATGAAACAACAATAAAAAAAAAAGATTTACTATTAAATTAATATAACTCCAGTATCCTTTTTTTTTTTTTTTTTTAAAGATTGTGCTTTCAGAATGCAATGGGGCATTTCCCCAGATAGCTCTCAGAACTTTATTAAAAAAAACATAAAAGGATAACTTTCATAGTAAATAGGCAGGAAATGTGAAGATTTTTAGCAAATAAAGCAGCTTGCCTTAATGACCTATGTCCTTGGCAAGTTATTGCCATATTAGATGGGAGACTTGAAATAATTTAACCAAATAATTAGGAAAAATGGGGAAAAATACTTTCATGCTAAAACACATTTCTGTTAACAGACCATAGCAAATCTGCCTTTCAATATGCAGTTTGAGCATATAAAGCTCACTAAACCTTCTAAGTCAAGGGAGCATATAGAATGTGGCAAATTATTATGACCAATAAATTGGTATTTTCTTGCACCCAATCCAGAAAAATAACAGCTACTGCCAATTCAATTTCAGCAAAACCCGTGAGAGGAAGCAAGGGGAGTTGTTCACACACTATGTTTAACAGGGATTCCCGTAATCTCAGGCAACCTCTAAACAGAATATCCACATATATACACAGGACTTATATGTAGTATGCAGTATACACACATATGTTCATGTATTACACTACACATTATACTTTCAGAATTAAAAAAATGACAACAGTTTTATGAAATTAAGATGAGCTAACAAATTTGACAGGTGTCCCGCAGAGAAGCCTGACTTTTTGTAATATAGAAATACCCAAATTAAACAAACAGCAGCTACTTTAAATCAAAATCATCACAAGGATTTTACTATGCAGAGTTACTAGTCTTTGTGTATTACATACTACCAGCACAGCAGTGTTGATTGTACTGTTATGATCTATGTTACTATGAATGCAGGTAATAGGGTTGCATTATTTAGCTTTATAATATCAGTACCCTCTGCCACCTCAGTATAGAGTGAATATGGAACATCACACTACACTCCAAAAAATCCAACCTGTTTAAAGAAATGACTCCTTAATTTGAAATTTTACTTTACATTTCCTTTATCTATTTGTTTTTGATCAAGCAGCCAGCAGTTCCCCATCTTCTAATATCTTCAGGGACTAAAGGGGAAGGAAGTAGTCATGGTTAACTGGGATATGCATAAAGGGAAAAGGAAAAGGACAAAGATTGTTCAGAGATTTCTATTATCTCATCCTCACCTTCAAAATTAACCAAGCTATTTATGTATATATATGCCATACCTCTTTACACTGAAATTTACACTCAGATGGAGAAAAGGTAGAAAATTAATAAATATTTCTTCAAGAATTATAGAAAAAATGGCTTTCACTAAAGAAAAAGACACAAGGTGCTTTACTTTATGTATTTGCGCGTCACATTTCTGAAGATGTATAATGATGACAATTAATATTAGCTGTGGAGTTCTTGCAATATTTGGCTTACTCCAAATGCAGAGTATAGAGGATCCAATACACAAATACCAGCAATATTAATTGCATCATCTTATCTGGATTTATAATTGTCAAAATCAAGAGTGTTACTATTAATAAATCACCCTTTTCCTCCTATACAAACACTTTCAGAGAACTCCAGCCATGCGGGAGGGGAGGAACTATGAGTTGCAGTAAATGTTGTGGGTGATTCAGAAAGTGATACTCTTACCTGTACTGAATCAATGCCCTAGTCAGGTGTCAGGATACACTGTGTAGTTGTTCAAGCCACAGTCTTTCAAGGTGAGATATGAAATAATATGTAGCACTTATATTAGTATTTTCCACCTTTGAAACACCCTATGCATGTGAGCTACATAATCAACGAATCCAACAACCTAACCATGCATGGTCATTAAAGAGATCTTACGGCATTTTTATTTTTTTGTGTGAAAGTAGAAATGTTACCTCTGGTGCCTTTGCATTTTACCTATTTAATTTCTCCTGCAGTTTCAACTGGATACAGTACTTTACACTTCTTGCTGTGATGCTGTGCACTGTTAAACAGGTGTCTTGTGCTTCTCCACGCATAGACTGCATTTCAGTGCTGGACGAAATAATTCCCATATTTTATGGAATACCACTTTGGGATCCTTCTGGATAAATGGTGCTACTAAAATATAAGCAGCTACTGCACATGTGCAGCAGGATATTTATCACATTACAGTATCAAGGAAAAATAATATATTTCCTTTTCAAAAGACTCAGTGCTGATAAAAATAGATGTCATAGTGGCTGTAAAAATGTTATCTCATTTTTAAGCATGACAGCATAATAGTCTTATTAAAATGAGAGCCAGTTATAATGAAAAGACAATGATATAATAACAGAGGGCATTCTAGCTCTCCCTTTCCTCTTTTTGTCCCCCTAGCAATCCTGCACTAGGACCCAGCAGGACACACTGGGTCCCAGTGCCTCACCACCAGTCCAATTTCCCAAAAGCCCACATAAAGCAGGAAATTCATGGACAAATCCTTTTGAAAAAAGTCTCTGGAAGCAGCCTTCACAAAGTCAATGGTTTGGTGATGTTGCAATTACTTATCCAAATTGAACTCACTGATTCTTGTCTGGTGGGAATGGGGAGACAGATAATATAAAACAGATGAGCAAAAGATATTACTTTAAAAAAATTAGACCAGGTTTAAATAGACTTTTTCCCCAAAAATCAAGTAGATGGGATTTAAAATATCAAAGAAAGAACAATGGTCCAAAATTAATAAAATAAGCCCCAATCCTCCAAAGAGATCTCCTTAGGCAGATCTATACACCTGTTCCGAGTCTCACTGGAGTCCTAAGGTATAAGATTTTGAACAGACTCTTTCTCTTGGTTGGAATGAAACCAAAATAAAAAGCAAGGCACTGATAGTGAGGTACGGGGTCTGTCAACTAAGGCATGATCCTGCAATTGGATCTTCCCAGGTGGGCCCTCTGAGTCCCATTAACATGAAACATAATAAAGACAATTTAGAGACAATTTAAAAGACAAGAAGTGGGGGAGGAAAGGATATACTGGAAGACTAAGATAGTGTGGTAATCCACAGAACTGCAGTTGGTCACAACTGACACCCTTCTTGGTCTTTCGCTTTAGTCATAAGGAACTCAAAATGAAACAAAATCTAGCCCAAACACTCTGTCCAGGCTTGATTACTCAGTCCACTGCCTTAGTCTCTCTCTGGAAAGCCACTTGCATACACAGCCTTATCTCAAGTTGGGGTAAGCAACTGCCTCAATGTTTAACCAGAAGACACTTAACCCTTTCCCAGCAGGATCAACGCCAGCAAGCAAGGAGGGATGTTTCAGCCCATTACACTAATTTTAGCCTGTCTGGAGTAGAGTGTAAGAATTACTTCTCATGTCTTCCTTACAACGCTCCTGCTAATATCATTCTGGGATGTGTTTTGCTTTGTTTGCAATAGTGTTACACCATAGACTCATATTTAGCTTGTGACCCACTATGACCCCCAGATCCCTTCCCACAGTACTCCTTCCTAGGCAGTCATTTCTCATTTTGTATGAGTGCAACTGATTGTTCCTTCCTAAGCGCAGTACTTTGCATCTGTCTGTATTGAATTCCATCCTATTTTCTTCAGACCATTTCTCTAGATCATTTTGATTTTTAATCCTATCCTCCAAAGCATTTGCAACCCCTCCCAACTTGGTATCATCTGCAAACTTTGTAAGTGTACATACTCTCTATGCCATTACCTACTTCATTAATGAAGATATTGAACAGAACTGGATCACTGTGGGACCCCACTCGACACGCCCTTGCAGCTTGACTGTGAACCACTGATAACTACTCTCTGGGAACAGTTTTCCAACCAGTTATGCACCTCCCTTATAGTAGCTCCATCTAAGTTGTATTTCCCTAGTTTGTTTATGAGACAGTCATGCAAGATAGTATCAAAAGCCTTACTAAAGTCAAGATATACCACATCTACCATTTGTTACCCTGTCAAAGAAAGCTATTCGGTTGGTTTGACACTATTTGTTCTTGACAAATCCATGCTGACTGTTACTTATCACCTTATTATCTTCTAGGTATTTGCAAATTGATTACTTAATTATTTGCTCCATTACCTTTCCAGTACTGAAGTTAAGGTGACTGACTGTAATTCCTCAGGTTGTCCTTATTTCCCTTTTTACAGATGGGCACTATAATTGCCCTTTTCCATTCCTCTGGAATCTCTCCAGTATTCCATGACTTTTCAAAGATAATCGCTAATGGCTCAAATACCTCTTCAGTCACCTCCTTGAGTGTGTTTCATCAGGCCCTGGTGACTTCAAGACATCTATCTTTTCTAAGTTTTTTTTTTTAACTTTTTATGCAGCAACTTAAATGTAGCTTTAACTTGTATGTAGCAACCAAGAGTTATCCAATGATTATTCAATGGCCAGTGTGTTGTGAGTCGCATTATAAGAGGTTAAGTGTCTACATCACAAAAAGCATAGTCTTTACAGGTGGTACTCTGTTGGCGGTCCCAACAGAGTCCAAGAACTCAATGAGTATGAAAACTCAACAACCCCATTATCCCTAGAATGATCTGATCTCTCCAGATTAGGTTTTAGGCATGATACTGAAGTAGAAGGGACAGATGTTTGCACAATTCTTATCCAAAAGATTGAATGCAAACTCAGAGTGTATGACTCTTCATACAGAGTGTATGATCTAATTGTTTTCTGTAGAAAATACACTTGCACTTACAAGTGTTGCCATTTACACTGACTTTTAAGTAAAAGTAGTAAGCTTGTAGGTTTGAGTCAACCCTGTAGGTGCACGAAGTGCAATTTGCATTCTCTGCACTCACAAAGGGAAGTTGTGCCAAAATGAAGTTCAACCCAGGGGAAGAACAGGCGGCAGCACAGTCTCCGCCATTGGCCAGGGTTCCACCAAAGTAAGTGCAACTTTAATTTATAGCTAAGATTCCTTTTGGTGGCTGCTTCTAGGAGCGTGCTGAACCAGTACATCTTCTA